TGGGTTTAAAAAAGCAAAACAAAAAACAAGGAAAGAAAAATAAAATTCAAATAATGGCTATCATATCAATGCCCAGAATTTTTTTTCATTGATAAGAAATTCAGTACATCACATACTAAATGCAAAGAATAATTCATCTCAACAACGCAGCAAAATGACATCCCCTTCAGCCATATGTCCTGTGATGTCTGTTTTTTTCCCACCTTTGTTTTCCCTCTGTTTTCCATCTTTGGCAGCAACTTTATTTCTTTCTCTGACTATCCATTAGACCGCTAGTCTATGAAACATGGAAACTCAAGGATAATATCAAATACACCTCCTACGTATCTGATAATAATAAAATATTCGTATACTTCATGAATACTTTTGTATTCGAGCAACATGTATAGTGTTTGAATTAAATCTTTTACATCTTCTTTCAAAATCACATAACATAAAATACATCAACAAAAATTCATACTACTTTGAAGTCACAAGAAGACGCATGAGTGTTTTTTTCAAGTATTGCCTACTACTACATGTCAAAAGAGTACAAATTATAAAATGAATCTATTATATTATAATTTTAACAACAAATACTTCTAAACAAACCAACTAAGTAAATATTAATTTTGATTCCTTTGATTGTAGTCACTTCACTTTATGAATGTACCTTGACAAAACAAAAAAAGAAAGAAGATATTCTCTAAGCTTTAGCTTTACGACAAGCTAACACAACTGAACTACCGAAAATAGCTTGATTTATATGAGCCGACTTTCTTATTAGGTTAAAAAATTAACCAACGTATATAATTAATAAGACGGTAAATAATAATAAAATATATTTAATATATATTTTACTATAGGCGTATCCTAGTCGTATTCATATCCTATTTTTTAAGATTTTGTCATATCATACCCGCACTTATATCCATGCTTCATAGCTGCAAATCAAGAGATGCCAAAAATAAAAAAAAATTGATTCTCATTGAAAAAGTGGCTGAATTTTGAATATCAAACTGAGACATACATGTCTTTCCTAAAAAATTAACAAATATAAATCCATTTTCCACTAACAAATTGAAACCATTTCGTGTGGTGAGCCTAAACCAATAAATACCTCGAACCATTATTGAGTTCACAACCCATAAGATCCAAGCAACATTCTTACATCTTATTCATACAAATGGACCAAAAGAAAAAAACAATATGGATAATAAAATAAGGCGCAATGCTATTGAGATTTAATTTACTGACATAATTCATTGTGACCTTTGAATTGACTGTAGATCTCATCAAATATTGGAACTTAGTGTTGATTCAATGATTCCTATGAAACCACATCATTATGTCAGCAAATTAGGTCAATTTTTTAGGTCCAAATAACATAACTCTAAAATAAGCAAGTGATAAAATGAAAGGCTCTAACAACCCCAGATCTGAACATTTTCAAAATCAACAAGAATTAAACAAACTCAAATAAAAGGCAACAAATAAAGGAAAATATGTTGGGGTTATATATGAATTGTATGTCGAGATCGAAATTATGACAATTTGTCTCCAAAATTACTCGACCACCATGAAAGCATACTAAAGAGAATTGATAGCAACGGTGAAAACTTATGGTACAAAATGTGAAAAAATGGAACACATACATTGATCATCATAAGATTATAAAATATCCCGTAGAAATTGTCGTATGTCACCAAAATTCAACACAAAAGAATCTAATATATGACACCATATTAGTCAAAACTCGAACTACATTATACCCAAATAAACCTAATACCGTAGAAAGTTCATTGTTTTGAGAATATGAAAAATAATGTTCATTTTGACTAAGTTGAGAACATAAAAGAAGATTGGATGTACAATCAACCAAGCGTACTAAAATTTTTGAAAGTTTTATCTGAATTTCAAGCGGCGACCGGATGCATCAGTAGTGCGTGAGAGACAAAGGCGACATCAAAGGCTCGTCACCACTGCCATAGTAGGGAGAGATTTGGGAGGTGATCAGGCCAAAAACAGTGGATTCAGAGAGAGAGAGAGACGTGGTGCAGGTTTATAGTTTTGATGAAGTGGGTTCTGAAGCGACACCGGCAATTACATGCTAATTATTGATTTATCAATAATTAAGTAATCAATTTAATATTAAGTAAAACACAAGGAGCTGATTGATTAACGAAAATAAGTATCCTACTTACCAAAGAGTCCAAGCATTGGGTTATTCAACTTCCCTTGAAGTTTTTGAAGCTTACTCACATCAATAGCAACTACTATGACTCTGCCTATGAAGCACTTCAATAGGGAAACAGTGCTTGCTGTTAAAGAAAGCTCTACTAAAATTTATTAAAGTGTTATTACCATGATAACAGGGTAACTCTAGTTGTTAGATGTATTAAAAGAAATTGAATTAGAACAAACTGGCAAGAATTTTTGCCATGGACATACTCAAAATGGTTCGTCTGTGAAAAGTGAAAACCTACAGAGAGATGATCAACTCCAATCCGAACTTCTATAATTATATACCTTTTAGATGTCAATTTAGAAAGAACAAACAAAAATATATATGCTACATTCCATAGCAACAAGAAAAGAAAAATAGAAATGCATAGTTCCATGATATGAAATAGCTTCGTAACAAATAACATAAAAATGCAAGCAAAAGTTGACATTGAAATACAATCATTAGAGCTTTGGGTTCAAAAAAAACTTTCATATCCATACATCAAGGCAGCCCCTATAAGACAAAAAATTTTGATCCTATATCCTTCTATAGAAAATATTTGAGGCTCACATGTGACTCAAAATCGAAGAATGCAACATCTACACTGACCATATGAATGGCTTATCGCAAGTTGTCTTATTTGTAGTTAATCTAATGCTGAGTTTGCCCCATAATCTACACCGAGAAAAAATTGGCAAATCGCGTGATACCTTTACAGATTTGGAAGCCATGGGTAGAAACCTGCTACTTTGGCCCTCAAAAAGTTTAGGGAAGCACCAAGAATTTTCCTGAAAAAAGAATTGTTTATGCAGCCAATTTCTGCACAATACTGGTATTGAAACATAAAACATAGAGCAGTTCTGCAAGAACTCAAGGTATTCCAAACCACGAAAATCACACAAAAATTAGGGCAGATTAGATATGGAAGCATAATATGGGGGAATCATAAGAATTAATATGAACATCATTTGGCGTACTATACCATCCTTAACAACAAAGGAATCTGAATTTTAGCAACAAATTCTCGTAACCCACTGTAAGTTATGGGTATGCAAAACATTGGATGAAACTAATTTAAAACTAAAAAGGCACCCGTCCTCCCATAAAGTAAATATATTAAGCCACAAAATTCAGGAAAACTATAACATACAAAAATATGAGTTCAAAAATAGAAGTTTGTAGTACTACAATTTAAACCTTGCCGTGCTGCAGGTTTATAACCAAATTAGTAGCAATATCCTGCTCCTTAACATATGTAAAGCTATTAAACAGAGGCAAAACAAATCCTGCTCACACAGAAGTAAAATGGAATCAAAAGAAATGGAAAAAAAAAAAGGTTTTCTTGTCAACTAATAAGGAATGCTGGTAGGGGTAAAAATCAAGTTCTTTAGCCCATAAAATGCTCATCATTTGATATATGGAGTGAGAAACAAAAGTTTTCCACAAATGTTTCTTGTTCCCAAGTTAAGAGTTATAATGAATGCAATGCCTCCATAGTACAAAGGTAGGTATGCAACTGCAACCTATAGATTTCTACAGTCAATTCCTCTTTAATATGAAGGGCATTATAAAATTCCTCATATTGCTACCATGATCTTCATAATTTTCAAAAGGTGTTGTAGTCAAAATACATGGAACTATGCTAAGATTACATACCTATCTTTTTCAACATGGAACTACTCAAGACAAATATTCATGGAAATCAAAAAAACATGATTCAAAAGATATAAGACCAGAAACATATAGGAAAAATACCATAATATAGTACAATAATAGTTTGCTAGCAACTGGCATGATCACATTAGAGCTCGGAGCAACAAGTGTCAATTCCGAGTATGTAGTACTATTTGCCAAATTTAAACCCGCAGAACCATGTTTATCATGTTCTTCAGCTGCTTCCCGAAGTTTCAATATTAATGGAGTGTAGGAAAAGCTAATGAACAATTAAAAATTAAAATCTAAGCAGCTTCATAAGTTGAGAACTATCAGTGCAAAATACATGAGACAAATGGTAAATAATAATGTAAGTTCAACGAAAGAAAATAAAAAAAAAACAAATATAACAACCAGTCTCAGTCTAGAAAGAAATGGAGCTGCTTAAGTATCTCGGGAACCACTTGCAAAGGGATAACTTCTTATCTAAATCATAAAATGTGGTAGAGAAACAGTTTGCCCAAGGCCTAGTGGCTATTCTTTCAAGCATGAGTTTTGTTGTTGGGGCACTCAAATCCAAGCAAGTTCCAACAAATACAGAAATTCAATATGGCAGCAAAAAAATCAAGCTATTTATTTCCATTTTCCAAATGTAATTCCACTAGTAAGAAATATTTTGTAGTAGTCGAAATACCAAATATAACCATCACCTTGGAAATACTAAGGGCAAGGCTCCACTGCTCCTGCAAAATATCAAGGCAAATGCTTCCATTGTTATTAATATTAGGGTGAAAAACCTCTATCTTGAAAGCAACTTGTAAAAACCATTCAAACTATATCAGAAGACAGAACTTCCAAAAGGAGAAAAAAAATTTTACAACACAAGCATAAGGAACTTTTCAAAGGCACTTTTCACAGACGAACCAGACAATGTGCAAATAAGAGCCCCAATCAGTTGTAAATATATATTTCAAAAAGACGTTATTAAGGGTTGTTATTTTATTACTGGCCACTATCAAAGTATCAGGTCTAAAGGACATGAGAATAAGATTTTAAGGGCCAATGTACTCCAACACAACTTGGGCAAAAGTCGTTTAGTCTCCCTCTCCCTTTAGCTATACAGTAAATCCCTCTACATATCCTAATTCCCAACATGTTTCAGTGGGATTGATATCCTTGATGACCAAAAAACAGAACCATACCAGAGGTGTAGTAGTAAACTATTTGTAACTTTACAACAAGGAGTTTGGTAGGGAACATTGGTTGCTAGCCTTGCATCTTTCTTTGTTGTGATGCCAAACCTTCCAATTGCCTCCTTGGCCCTGGTACCAGTATCAAGCTTAATTTTGATGTTCCTTTTGAGCCTATGATGAGTAATATAAGAGTTGCACTGGCGGTAAGATCTCAATTTGGGAACGTAATTGATGGCAGAGTCCTTTTTATGACATCGCCAACCTAGCTGGATAAGATGCCAATTCTTAGCCTCAGGTTTAGCAAAACCAATACAACCCAGGCTTCAAACACCAAAAGAACACAGGACATGACTTGCTGATCCCATCATTGGACTTCTAATCGACCTCATCATATCAGCATTTACCAGATAGTGGCTGTTATTTCAGACAAAATTCATTCATTTTCTAACAAAAATATAGACATATCAAAGTACAAAGATCACTTATAAAAAAAAAATGAAAAGCAACCAAACAAATGATATATCAACAAATACTATCAATATCACCTTGCAAGAACAACAAAGTTAGAAACAACAAAACATGAAAAACATAGAAGCTGAAATGTGAATCTACTGCCAAACATATGGCCGATATCGCACAAATTAAATACACGTACCAATCTTGCTAGCAGGTGTATTGCAGCTTTCTGTTTTAGAAAATAAAAATAACTCAAAAGACTTTCCATCTTCGAGTCGTTCGAGCATTCTGAAATACAAAACACCAAATGAATCGGCCCTTGGAGAAGAGACAAAATTCAAAATCTCTAGTGCATGTTCAAACATTAATTAGACCACCCCAAGGATTATCAATGCCGCCAAAGTACAAAGCTGCTCATCATATTTACAACCATATGTAAAAATTGATGGAATAATATGTCGTACCTGACTTTCGAGGGGCGATAGAATGCTTTGGCCATTGATGAGTCATCCATCGTTTTACTCTGATTTCACAGGAGCCAGTAAAATAGTACAGAAAGGGAAGAGGATGTGGGAGTTGATCAATCCAAAGATAATGAACCTTTAATATGCTCGTAGGTTTGAATTGAGTTATTAAAGCTCTAGGAGGTGGGAGCCTGAGTATAGACTAAACTCAGATTAACAAAGGCTCAATTATAATTTTAGTTGGGTCAAACTCATTTTCTTAAATGACTTAGTCCATCATTAGCGCACGTGAAAATTTCTATTGAACAAAGGAAATTCATGGGGACATAGTTATCAGGGGCATATTACCGATCTCGTGAGATCACTTTCGTACATTATGAAATAAAATGAGCTTTAGGGAATCACCCCGCTATCACTTCACCCGTTACGAGGATAAGACAAATTTTACAGAATCAATTATAAAGATGATGCCTCAATCAGAACCTCTCGAAAGCCAACTTTCACTTACCTATAAATTATAAATCTAGCCTAAACATGGGTGACATTACACACATCTCAGCACACTTATTTTTTTAATAATAAGATTATTTGGCCACCATCCCCATTTTCAATAGAGTAGGTTACTCAGACCGAACTACCTAAACTTTGTATTTGCTTGTGTTAAACCCTTTTTATTTCATTATTCATTAATTTTACATAAACTTACTTTTGTGTATCATATCACGTCTCTATTTTATCCCTTTAGAACCTTTTCTCCATTGGTTATAGTACATGAACATTCAACAACATCAAATCTAATCAAATCTAATTAGTCTCGAGGACTCCTGCCTCCGAATAAAAATCAGGAGCAAGCCTCCTGGAAGGGGCAAAACCCTGAAGTGCCTCCAAATAAAAATCAGAAGCAAGCCTCCTGAAAAGGGCAAGGCCCTGGAGGCAAAGTCCCAGGGACTCCTGCCTTCGAATAAAAATCAAGAGCAAACCTCCTAGAAGGGGCAAGGCCCTGGAGTGCCTCCGAATGAAAATCAGGAGCAAGCCTCCTGGAAAGGGCATGACGCCGCGGGTGGAATCTTGAAGGTCACCTCGAACCTAAAAGAACAATGAAGCGAATGAGTGATCACCCTGATCTCGGTGTCAACCACCTCGAGACGACTCCTGAAAATGATGAAGCTGAATCAATTGGGGGGATCAGTTAACTCCTCCCTTGGCATTGGAATTGTGGAAGACATCCAGTTATCCCTACTTGTTGTTATGATATCAAAGTATTTCAAAAAAAATAATAATACACAAAGTAACAAAAGGAGATTCTTCAATTACAAAGAGAAACGGGGCTTTGAGTCCCCGAGAGCTACAAAAGCAGGAAAAATACAACTAAAAAAAAATAAAAAAATAAAAAAAATAATATAAGTTCAAAAGCAAAAATCCAAAAGCTGGAGAACCAATCATCCCCCCCCCCCCCCCCCCGACATCTCTACTACGTCGCTGCAGGGGGGAGTCGACGTTGGAGGGATTAGCAACTTCGGGAACGGATAGAGCAGGGACCAAGACAGCAACAGATAGGACTGGAGGAGTGCTTGATTCGGGGGCGGAGGGGCCTGACTTTGGCAGGGCATCATCAGATGGAACCAGGATGGCCACTTCAGAGGGCTCTACTTAGGCCTGCACCAAGATTGGGGCCACATCCTCAGCAGCAACCTCGGCCCCAGTCTGCACAAAATCTGTTGTAAGGTTAAATCCGTTGCATAAAATATTTGGGGCGCGGGTACAAAATTTGTCTAGACTTTGAGCTTAAATTTTACATATTTAGAGGTTAAATCATGAAATTTTTGTGAAATACACTTTTATAGCCCTCGGAGTCTTCTTTCCAGCCCCCAAAAATCAAGTAAATCTGATATCAAAGTCAAAAGTTATGACCAGAATACTGGAAATATGTTAAATCCTTATTCTTCTAAGATACTTTCCTAATCTAACTTTAAATGAGTTTTCTTCCATCTTGGACTCTTAGAAGGATTAAATTGCTGTCATATCTTCAAGTCTTCCTATCTCAATATTGACTCTTTAATCCTTATTAGTTGTAATTTTTCCTCTAGTGATTGATTTACTTGTCTTATCCATTATTACTTTAAATCAACTAATTTACCTGCAAAATAAATCAAACAACTAGAAAAAGTATCAAACTAAAAAATCAAGGAATTCAAAACATTGAATTACAAATAATATGCAATTAACTAATCATTAAATAAAATAAAATAGCAATTTGGATGGTTAATCAGTCTACTCCGTAATTCTCCTCTCAATATCGGTCAGGGCAGCACTTAGCTTTTCAGTGTCGACCCTTGTCGATTCGCTGTCCTTGAGCAGTTGCTCAATCTGAGCCGCCAAGGTGATGTCTCTGGCAGCCACGTTCTCCTTAGTGACAGCAAGGGCCTCTTCAACCTTTTCCTTCTCCTCTTTAGCTTGCTAAAGGTTCTGTCTGGCTCCGTGATAGCGAGCAACGATCACCGAGATCTGTTGGGTGGCCTACGAGGAAAAAAACTTGGTTAAATCACAGTTGATCGAATGAGGGAAGACCAAACAGAAGTGAAACTCACCACCAAGGAGTTCTGAATGATTGAGTGGAACAACGAGTTCGTTGTCCACTCTCGGTGAGTCGCCATGTCGGCCCCAAAGTGAAGTGTCTCGCTCACTCCATAAGTGACATGGGGGTCCTACAAAATGAAATTATCGACTCGGATCACCCTGCTCATGTGATTGATAGCCCGATGATTCTACTCTGTCGCAACCTCTGTTGGTGGCAGGAGAGGTGGAGTTCGCTGCTGTTGTTGTTGCTGTTTCTGTTGCTACTGCTGCTGTTGTTGGGGTGGGGAGCCCTTCCTTCGGCCCCTGCTGCCTTGTTGATGAGGGAGGTGGCCCTAGTGCCTCTACTAAGGCTGTCGTGCCTTTGTTTTGTTCTTTTTCTCCTATTCAACAAGAGGATCTCGATCACGCACCTGGCCCCGACTGGCGGGCCTTGGTGCTAGAGGAGGAATGTTGATGTTGGCTCCTAAAGGTGGGGGCGCGTTGCTTGTCGACCCCTTACTTCTCCCTATAGCGAGAGATTGTCTCTACCTCAAGAAGTTTAGATCGATCCGAGGTTGGCGCGACATGGCTACCTCCAGGGCGTACTCAGCGTCCAAGGATTGGAGGATGTTGAAGTCGGGCCACGCCTTTTTACCTAAAGTACCCACCTCGACGTCTGAGGGTACAAAAGCCTCCCTGGCCTCGGGTTCTTCAACTTCAATGTCTTCAATGACACCCTCTACCTCTGCCTCGGTGGCCTTGTCAGGATCTTCCTTTAAATTCTGCTCGACCTCCTACTGCTCTGTCTGATCAAAGAGCTCGGACCACCTTGAAGGGTCGAAAGATTGGGGGAGCTGAGAAAACTTCTTGTATCCTAGTGTGTAATCCAGGAGGAGGTGACCAACTCGGCCAAATCCGTCGTTGCCGATGTATTCCCAGACGGTGATTAAATCAACAAAATTCACCAAATGCAGAGGAGGAGGGGCGACTTCGCGAGCAGAGACGTTTGCACAAAAAAATGGGAGGTTGTTAAGACTTTACGGGATATTCATGGACAATGAAAACCAGAAAGACACGAAAAAGCCGACATACTTGTAATTCTTCATTGCAAAGGACACCTTAGACCGGCTTACTCGGGACCGGTTCTTCTCTCTTAGGCCCCACTAAAGAAATTGACATCCACGTTAGAAAAGCTACTGGCCATGATGAAGAACACTTGATTTAAATATATATGTATATCTTTTGAGATATTTAGGGTTTCTTTAGTGATGATTATGAGTTTTGTTTGTCTTCTTTGTACTTTGTTTGTCTGGAGCATGGGCAAATGATTTGGCTGCTTTCTGTGTTTCAAAGATTTTTGCTCCCACCCACTGAAAAGTAGTCAATGTTGCTCTAATGACCAACTATCTCAATGTGTCTCGTTGATAAAATGTTCATTGCTTTTCGTTCATTATGATCTCTTCGTCGTCCAATAAGGATTTTGGGTTTAAACTATAATCGTAATTTGAGATAATTGATCTGCATTAATATAAAATAGGGGACTTTTGTATCAAAATTCGATATACAATAGACTAATAGTGTTTTAACATGTTAAAAAAAAAGCGACACAAATAGAAAATAGTTACAGAAAGGAAAAAAAAAAAAGGAGGAAGTTGCTTTCTGGCTGTTTGTAATTGTAGACATCTAAACCGTCTGAAATCCTCGCCCATCATATTGTTTGTGCATAAAATTTGTGTCTTTTTGATGATTCCAATGTCGTATAAAACTGAAATCAAACCAACAAACCCATAACTGGGTTTAGCTTGAAAAGCACAATCGGTACCATTAATGTTAAAGGGCTGTGTAGAGACTTACGATGGATACATACGTACAACGCTAGCATCCCCCCCCCCCCAAAATGAGTATCAAAACAGAAACAAATTCCAGGACTGAAAACTCGACCAGATAGGTAGGTATCATTTGGAATACAAATTTTTGACACGGTACCAAATATAAGTTTAATGGTTGCGATACTCAAAGATGGAAAAGCCTATAGAACCGATTTTTTTTTTTTCAGTTTCGTATTATCGATTATCACTTTTTATGATAAAATTATAATTTTAAAAAAAGAAAGTACAACTGCTCAAGTGAAGGATATGATCAGTCATGAACTTTCTTTTCTTGATCAATCATGTTCTTTAAAATTATAACTTATANTCACCAAATGCAGAGGAGGAGGGGCGACTTCGCGAGCAGAGACGTTTGCACAAAAAAATGGGAGGTTGTTAAGACTTTACGGGATATTCATGGACAATGAAAACCAGAAAGACACGAAAAAGCCGACATACTTGTAATTCTTCATTGCAAAGGACACCTTAGACCGGCTTACTCGGGACCGGTTCTTCTCTCTTAGGCCCCACTAAAGAAATTGACATCCACGTTAGAAAAGCTACTGGCCATGATGAAGAACACTTGATTTAAATATATATGTATATCTTTTGAGATATTTAGGGTTTCTTTAGTGATGATTATGAGTTTTGTTTGTCTTCTTTGTACTTTGTTTGTCTGGAGCATGGGCAAATGATTTGGCTGCTTTCTGTGTTTCAAAGATTTTTGCTCCCACCCACTGAAAAGTAGTCAATGTTGCTCTAATGACCAACTATCTCAATGTGTCTCGTTGATAAAATGTTCATTGCTTTTCGTTCATTATGATCTCTTCGTCGTCCAATAAGGATTTTGGGTTTAAACTATAATCGTAATTTGAGATAATTGATCTGCATTAATATAAAATAGGGGACTTTTGTATCAAAATTCGATATACAATAGACTAATAGTGTTTTAACATGTTAAAAAAAAAGCGACACAAATAGAAAATAGTTACAGAAAGGAAAAAAAAAAAAGGAGGAAGTTGCTTTCTGGCTGTTTGTAATTGTAGACATCTAAACCGTCTGAAATCCTCGCCCATCATATTGTTTGTGCATAAAATTTGTGTCTTTTTGATGATTCCAATGTCGTATAAAACTGAAATCAAACCAACAAACCCATAACTGGGTTTAGCTTGAAAAGCACAATCGGTACCATTAATGTTAAAGGGCTGTGTAGAGACTTACGATGGATACATACGTACAACGCTAGCATCCCCCCCCCCCCAAAATGAGTATCAAAACAGAAACAAATTCCAGGACTGAAAACTCGACCAGATAGGTAGGTATCATTTGGAATACAAATTTTTGACACGGTACCAAATATAAGTTTAATGGTTGCGATACTCAAAGATGGAAAAGCCTATAGAACCGATTTTTTTTTTTTTCAGTTTCGTATTATCGATTATCACTTTTTATGGTAAAATTATAATTTTAAAAAAAGAAAGTACAACTGCTCAAGTGAAGGATATGATCAGTCATGAACTTTCTTTTCTTGATCAATCATATTCTTTAAAATTATAACTTATAATTCAACAAAGCTATAATTTAATTTTAAAAAATTATAATTTTTGATACGATATAATTGACGGTACCCTAACATTTGCCCTCAAAGATTAGACAATCCAGTAGTTGAAGTAATAAATATGTTAAGATGTTGTCAAATAACAATAACTAAAGTTACAGTTGGCGGTACATTAGTCAATTGTAATAAATTCTCATTGATTTTAACTGCAGGCTAGGCCCATTTGACAACTGATAAGCTTAAAATGGCAACAGATGGTAGGAATATTGATGACGATTAAAGCTATTTAGAGCTAAATATTTGATTTAATGATAATATTTTAATAAAATAATTAGATGAATACTAAAATTTAATCTTTGATAAAATTTAAAATTAATCTAATAGTCATAATAAATTAGATTAAGAAATTAAATCATACTTACATTTCTCGGAGCACATGACGTTGCACCAAAGTAAGCATGACGTCATTTTTTGTCAAAGCTAAACATTCTCTTCTTATCGATACAAAATGGCAAACAGCCAGCAATTATCATCTCTTTGAAATTATCCCCAGACATCCAATCCATACATGGAATATTTTCTCTTTGAAATTATAATAATCAAATATGTTGCTCACATTTTATACATCGATTAAATTCTTAAAAATTATAATTTATACATTAAATTATAATCTTAATTTTATTTTATCCTCTTAACTATTGATTAGACCACATTGAACAATTAATAATTATGACCAAAAAAAACCCATTAACTATTAAAATTGTACCAATTTGTATAAATTGTTAAAATTTGATATTATATAAATTTTAGACTATTTTGAATTATTAATTGTGCAACTGATTCGACTTTTACATCTAATAATTTTGATATAATTATATTATATCATTAATGATAACATTAACGTTCTAATTGAATAATTCGTGATAAATAAAAAAATCTTATTATATTACTATTTGAACTCCTTAAAAAAATTATCCTGTCTCCCTCGTGGGCGTGCGTGTGTGTGAGAGAGACTTGTTAGAAGGTGTTTTTTTTTTAATTTTTTTTTTATTTGGAGAGAGAGAGAGAGAAGAGGAGGAGGGACTCGTCGGTAGGTGTCATTGTCCGAACAAGGAGCCTAATATTACAAGATCATTATTAGAGTTTAGAAGTAGGCAACCGCAACCCATACCCCATGATTAAGGGTGAATGGTGGAAGTAATAGTTATAACATGACACTCCATTGTCACCTTACAAATCACAGTATGTCAATTTTAGTTGTCTGATTCGACGATGCCATGTACCACTTCATTTTTACATTATTCGGATTTCTGTCTTTACCCAAAATCATCATTTGTTTATGCTTTTCTCTGAAAATTAAATATCCCACCTGCCCAAAATTATCTTCATTTGTTTAATGCTTTTCTCATAAAATTAAATATTCCACTTGCCAAAAATTTTCTCTCTCTCTCTTTTTTTTTTTCGAGGGGGAGGATTTGAACCATTTATCTCAGGAAATTTCTTTTTTCACAAGTCAAAGAGTATCATTAGACCAAAGGCCTATTGATACTGCCAAAAATTCACTATCATCCAAGAAATGTGAAGTTTAAAAAGGTTCTCCTAATAATTTTATAATTATGTTAGTAAATTAGATTAGATTTTTAGGTCCCAATAACATTACTCTTTGCCAAAATATCATAATTACTGTAATAAAACACTAGTCATACATCATTGTTAAATGTACAATTATATCATTGCACAAACGTCGTGGCTAGCACGACATTCAGAATTTCCTTTAACTATGGGGAATGAAATAAAGTTTCCTTCCCAGGTAGATTCTATATATTTTTAGAATTTATACTAATTTTTTTGGGGGTAACTCTACCTAAAAATTATAATTTACCTTCAAAAAGAGGTCAAATTCGATACCCTACAACTTTGCTATTACGATCTTGTCTGAGAGAAGAGGTTTTTGGTTCGTGCATGAAGGATTAAAGCTAGAAAAATCCCAAAAAGACAAAGTGAACCCCAAATAATAAATGTCTTTTGGTAGCATTCCATGCCCATGCATCTTCCATCTCCATGATGATGTCCTTCTTTCCTGTAAAATAGTGCTGCTAAGTACCCAAAAACAAATGAACCTATTGGAATGTTGGTGACCAAAATGTTGTGATTTAGGCCGAAATTCTGAGTCCCGAAGAGCTCGGTGGTTGTGGAGACAGAGATGGACGTAATTGCTCCTGTACATACACCTATAATGGCGGTGCTGATGTAGAGAGAGAGGTTGGTTCCGTTGAGGAGGAGGAAGAATGATCCTGCCATTGGGGCCATCATCACCGCCATTGATGCTGGTCCTGAAACCTTAGTCTTTCTCCTGAAATAAGAAATTCACAACCACCAGACATTAATTCCACTGAGCTTATAGTTTCGTTTGGTTGCAGGGTCTATGCAACATAAAGGGTGTTTCCGAATTCACGGGATGAAATCCACCTCAGTTTCATGTGGTAGAGAGAGAATAATCTGGATATCTTGTCCTCACGTACTATCATAATTTATAGAGTAGTATTATTTAAACTTAAAAATTTAATTTAATTTGTTGACATAATAACGTAGTTTCATAAAAATTATTGGATCAATACCAAATTACAATGTTTGATGGGATCTACAGTAAATCGAAAAGTCAAAATGAATTAAGTCAATAAATTATATCAATAAATTAAATTTCAACAACGTTGCTCTAATTTGTATAGCTAAAAAAAACTGGCTCCTTCAATTTATCAACTAACACACAAATGCATAGAGTTTGCATTAAAAGCCCTACCACTGTATATGAGAGAGAGGGAGAGAGAGAGAGAGAGGGATCACCTGGAGAAATAGTAGTCGAGGAGGGAAGGAATGAGGCGACCAAAGAAGCCAAATGAAGAAGCCAATGAGACCAGAGAAGAAATATCTGAGCATCCACGAGATTCAGCAATTTGTCCCAAGTTGTTCAAATAGACCAGCCCGAGAGTTGCACCAAAGAAATATACAAAGAAATATAACCAAAACTCCACCATTTTTAGCATAGACTTTGCTCCAATCTCCTTCTTCATCTTATCCTCAGAAACTAATTCTGTTATACTGGTTTCTTCTACTTTCATCCCATCCTCTAAGCTGATTGCACTTTCACCCTCCTCTACTGTCAGATTATGCACTCTTCTCTCTACCCGTAACCAACATTTTTGCTGAAACTTTTCTCTGAGTTTATCAGCCACTGGTACCAGAAGAGGTGACGCCAAGAACAAACCGATACCAATCAGAACCATCAATGGTGTCATCACTCTTGAAACCACTGAACCCAAACTGCTGATCACAGCATAGGCTCCGGTGGCTATTGTTATTGCAAACATTAAAATGAACCCACCGGCCATTTTCTTGGATTTTCCGACGTTGATATCTCCGACGACAGGTGCAGCCATTATACAAACTACAAGGGGTAAGATAGAATTCAGAAGAAGATAGCCCTTAGTTTTTTCAGCGTTTGAATAAGGGAATAGAACATTAACAAAAGCTGTATAAATCTTTGCACTCAATCCTACGTAGCTAGTTGATATTCCGACCGCAAACTGACGATCCAGAGGAAAGTTTTTGATGGCGACGAGGTAACAAACTGTGTTGATCCAACAAATACTGTTTCCTGCTAATACAGTGAGTAAGAAAACATGCACATAAGACAGAGAGGAGATTTGGTTTGTTAGGAAAAGATATTGCATCCCATAACCAATCAACCCAAGAACTGCACCGATCATGAGGACTAGCCAGAGGGGTAGATAACCAGCGGCGACACCGGCGAACCAACCGAGGATTTTTCCGGCGTCTGAGGCAAAGGCTAGGTTGTTCAGTTCAAGCTGTGAAATGGAAAGAAGACGCTTGAGTTGGGATGAGTAAGCAGGAAAGTTGGAGTTAGTCCCATTAATGGATTGGAGCCATATAGCACCCACCAAACTTAGCCATTGAAAAGCCATTAGACACACAACAGAAGGTATGAAGTTGGGTAATACTTTGAGTTGAGTTGAGCTGTTGGGTTTTAAACTTGAAGGTTTGTTTGTGTGTGTGTGTGTGTGTATACAAGTGTGGGAGGGTGTGTGTGAAAAGAGAGATAGACACGTACGTTGTGGCGGTAAGCAGAAAATGTGGATTTGTAATGGCCACCACCTTCACTAATACTATATCTATATCTGTAATGGGTATTGTCGGTACGAACGAGAGAGAACCACTACTTTGTTACGGCTACTATATTCAAGTATTTAATATTCGAAGACGTAACATCACAAAACAATAGTAACAATGGTTCAAGGTTAATTCCATAGAGAGAGTCGTTAGGTGCTCACAACCATCGGCGTCCTTGCCCATTACCAAGCATTTTTTTAAGTATATTAATGGTTCATACTATATAATGTAACAGTAACAAGTTATACACATGAATTAATAAATAAAAGAATGAGTTAAACAAAATGGAAGGTTCATACTATATAATGGCATCGCACAATGGCATCATTTGATTTAATGATGATCACACAATAGTATAATGCCTTGCACGATTTGAGATAGAGACGTTTGGATCGAGTTGCATGAAACTCGTGTTTTACTCGAAATGTAAAATCAATATCAATTTAAATTGTATTGTGTCAGATATTATTTAGTTGAATCATATATGTATAAACTGACACTTTAAAATACAAGTATATAGATCAATTTTAAAAAATATTATCTTAACTATAACGTGTCATGAGTAGTTAGACTCTCTCTTGTATCTTTCGTTTGGCTAGGCTGTTAAAATTTCCTACCTATGACATAGAAGAGCAAATTTAAAAGGGACACGAAACAAAGACATTAATGCTATTGTTGTTTATGTATAGAGCATCTTCAAAGAGTCTCTTTGCGTGAAGAGAGAGAAAGATAGTAACTACGAGAGTGGAGATTTGTGGCTCCAACACAATGGCTCTAGGACATCATTAACCACAAAATAATATCAGGCCCCAATTAATGACTTGTGGGTTCCACATTATGAATTCAATGTATTTAAACAAAATCTGCTTAAACTTTTCAATGGCGCAAGAAATTACCTTTTCCATTTCTTAAAGGGTAAACAAAATAAAACGAGGACAGTGTAGGCGAAACACAAGACTGTAAAAACAAGTATAAGACCGCTCTAAGTCTAAAGAGTAGTCCGAGCGATAATGGAGATAAATTTTAAATTTAGACATTCTAAATTTGAATTTGAATAATTTTTTAGGGCTAGACTATAAAGAATTTATCCTTCATTAATATTTTGTGGCCTGCCTTTTACTGGATTGAGGAAACGATTAATCAAGGTGCACAAAAGTTTGTCCGAACATCCGTAACCGTTGAAAAAAAAAATACTTACATATAATCTTTCACTAAATCTGTTATAACGGGGGTTTTGTACACTGCACAGTCGTTTGATGATGTCAAATTTCATCTGCTCACAAAGAACTATCATTATAAATGGTTACATGATCCCTTGCTAATTTACAAAAAATGTTATTTAGACACAATTTAAGGATTTAATTTGAAAATCTAATTCGATACACCATTGAATTGGAAATAGATTCCAATTGAAACTCACAACTAATCTAACCACTTAATTAAATTAAATTTTTAATTAACTCCTACATAAAAGTAAGTGGAATTGAAAAAGCTGTGACATACGGATTGCTGACTTTAGTTATTAATGCATGATTGAAAATAGATTCATGGGATAATTTTTTTTTTTTTTTTGGGGTAATGCTAGACTGACTAAATTTTGGAACTAAATTTGGAGCCCAAAAGACATGGTAGTTGACTTTAACTTTTTTGATTAGTGTCATGTCATTTGGGACCTAAGAAAAAAATTTGAAATAATCAACTGTCATGTCATTTGAGCTCTAAATTTGGTTCTAAAATTTAGTCAGTCTAGCATTTTTTTTTTACCGATATACCAAACCTAAATGGCTAAATTATATGATTTTGATATGCACCACTAGTAAAATTGTTCAATCCGTATTGCATTTTTTTTCTCTACATTTTCGTGGACTGAATTTATGCAGATATCAATTTACAATTTATTGACCGCTGCGGGCATGCGGTCCAAGACAGCAGACAAATATATATCGAGATAGGGATTTGTGACATTAAGACTACCATTAGATTTATTTATTTTTTTACCTCAGAGATTATGGACTTCAATTATTCTCTTAAGAGAAAACTAACAAATTAGAGAATAAATGAACATAATGGAATTGAAACAAATAGTAAAGTATATAGCAAGATAGAATTAGTGTATAAATTAGTGTGCTGGAGTTGAAATTGAAAAAAGTCGACAAAATTACAGAATAAAAATGAAAATTTAAATTTAAACAGTGTAGAGAAGAACTCTGGTGTTCTGTTCTGTTTGTAGGAGTGCCTTCTCTGTTGTCTGGTCCTCTTTATTTATAGGTGGTGATTTTTTAGCACTAAAGATCTTTTTCAGCCATTAAACACGTTTTCATGACCTCTCTCTTTGACGGGTAAGAATGTGTGTCAAAACATTTTGCAATCCACGGTTCCATTTGACATGCTTCTTCGCTTGTCGAGATCCTTGGAAATCTTTCGTTATAATTATTTTATCTCCTTGGACCTCCTCTGACCAAATTTTGACCGTCGGATATTGCCACATGTCCTTCTTAAATTTTTTAAAAATATTTTGGTGTAAATAAATATCAATTGAACAAGTTTGTATCTGAGTTAATATTTTTGTTAAGGGATCTTAGCATTTTCAATCTCATATATATAATAACTAGTTATTACTTGCACCTAAAAGTACGGAGTAATAAAAAAATTTGTCAAGTATAAATATATTTGTATTTACACTCAAAATTAAATCATAAATACAGAGGAGAAATAAATGAATTTAAACACTAATTGTAGTAGGGTGAGGTGGTGGTAGTGGTGGCAGGTGGCAACTGTAGTGGTGGGNAGGAGAAATAAATGAATTTAAACACTAATTGTAGTAGGGTGAGGTGGTGGTAGTGGTGGCAGGTGGCAACTGTAGTGGTGGGATACTGTGACGATTATGGTGGATGGTTATGATTGTAATGATGGTGACAATCGTGGGTGGTGACGGTGATGATGATGGTAGATTTTAGGTGACGATAATGACGATAGTGATGAGCGACGGTGATAGTGGTGGGTTGTGGTGATGGAGCGGTGATGCTGGGAATGTTAGGCGTGAGTGGTGGTGGGTGATGATGGGTACTTGTCAACGGTGGCGGTGGTGGTGGTGGTGGTAAGTGTGGTAAGAGTGGGTGACAGTGGGTAATGGCTGGCGGTGGGTTGGGATAGTGGGTGGCGGCAGTGGATTGTGGTAATGGGCAACGATGGTCGTGATGGTGAGGGTTGCAGTAGAAGTGGTGACGACAATGACAATTGCAGTGAGGGCATGGGGCGATGCTGATGGTGGTGTGGTGGCAATAGTAGTGGTAGTGGTGGTGTTGAGGTAGCAACAATAGTGGTAGTGGTGAAGGATTTTGTAGTGAAGTGATTTTAAAGAAGTAGTAATTATTATTTTTTATTTTTATTTATTTATTTAAGTGGTAAAATTATTNATAGACTTTGCTCCAATCTCGTTCTTCATCTTATCCTCAGAAACTAATTCTGTTATACTGGTTTCTTCTACTTTCATCCCATCCTCTAAGCTGATTGCACTTTCACCCTCCTCTACTGTCAGATTATGCACTCTTCTCTCTACCCGTAACCAACATTTTTGCTGAAACTTTTCTCTGAGTTTATCAGCCACTGGTACCAGAAGAGGTGACGCCAAGAACAAACCGATACCAATCAGAACCATCAATGGTGTCATCACTCTTGAAACCACTGAACCCAAACTGCTGATCACAGCATAGGCTCCGGTGGCTATTGTTATTGCAAACATTAAAATGAACCCACCGGCCATTTTCTTGGATTTTCCGACGTTGATATCTCCGACGACAGGTGCAGCCATTATACAAACTACAAGGGGTAAGATAGAATTCAGAAGAAGATAGCCCTTAGTTTTTTCAGCGTTTGAATAAGGGAATAGAACATTAACAAAAGCTGTNGTTTTTTCAGCGTTTGAATAACGGAATAGAACATTAACAAAAGCTGTATAAATCTTTGCACTCAATCCTACGTAGCTAGTTGATATTCCGACCGCAAACTGACGATCCAGAGGAAAGTTTTTGATGGCGACGAGGTAACAAACTGTGTTGATCCAACAAATACTGTTTCCTGCTAATACAGTGAGTAAGAAAACATGCACATAAGACAGAGAGGAGATTTGGTTTGTTAGGAAAAGATATTGCATCCCATAACCAATCAACCCAAGAACTGCACCGATCATGAGGACTAGCCAGAGGGGTAGATAACCAGCGGCGACACCGGCGAACCAACCGAGGATTTTTCCGGCGTCTGAGGCAAAGGCTAGGTTGTTCAGTTCAAGCTGTGAAATGGAAAGAAGACGCTTGAGTTGGGATGAGTAAGCAGGAAAGTTGGAGTTAGTCCCATTAATGGATTGGAGCCATATAGCACCCACCAAACTTAGCCATTGAAAAGCCATTAGACACACAACAGAAGGTATGAAGTTGGGTAATACTTTGAGTTGAGTTGAGCTGTTGGGTTTTAAACTTGAAGGTTTGTTTGTGTGTGTGTGTGTTTATACAAGTGTTGGTAGGGTGTGTGTGTAAAGAGAGATAGACACGTACGTTGTGGCGGTAAGCAGAAAATGTGGATTTGTAATGGCCACCACCTTCACTAATACTATATCTATATCTGTAATGGGTATTGTCGGTACGAACGAGAGAGAACCNTGTGTATACAAGTGTGGGAGGGTGTGTGTGAAAAGAGAGATAGACACGTACGTTGTGGCGGTAAGCAGAAAATGTGGATTTGTAATGGCCACCACCTTCACTAATACTATATCTATATCTGTAATGGGTATTGTCGGTACGAACGAGAGAGAACCACTACTTTGTTACGGCTACTATATTCAAGTATTTAATATTNTGGCCACCACCTTCACTAATACTATATCTATATCTGTAATGGGTATTGTCGGTACGAACGAGAGAGAACCACTACTTTGTTACGGCTACTATATTCAAGTATTTAATATTCGAAGACGTAACATCACAAAACAATAGTAACAATGGTTCAAGGTTAATTCCATAGAGAGAGTCGTTAGGTGCTCACAACCATCGGCGTCCTTGCCCATTACCAAGCATTTTTTTAAGTATATTAATGGTTCATACTATATAATGTAACAGTAACAAGTTATACACATGAATTAATAAATAAAAGAATGAGTTAAACAAAATGGAAGGTTCATACTATATAATGGCATCGCACAATGGCATCATTTGATTTAATGATGATCACACAATAGTATAATGCCTTGCACGATTTGAGATAGAGACGTTTGGATCGAGTTGCATGAAACTCGTGTTTTACTCGAAATGTAAAATCAATATCAATTTAAATTGTATTGTGTCAGATATTATTTAGTTGAATCATATATGTATAAACTGACACTTTAAAATACAAGTATATAGATCAATTTTAAAAAATATTATCTTAACTATAAAGTGTCATGAGTAGTTAGACTCTCTCTTGTATCTTTCGTTTGGCTAGGCTGTTAAAATTTCCTACCTATGACATAGAAGAGCAAATTTAAAAGGGACACGAAACAAAGACATTAATGCTATTGTTGTTTATGTATAGAGCATCTTCAAAGAGTCTCTTTGCGTGAAGTGAGAGAAAGATAGTAACTACGATAGTGGAGATTTGTGGCTCCAACACAATGGCTCTAGGACCTCATTAACCACAAAATAATATCAGGCCCCAATTAATGACTTGTGGGTTCCACATTATGAATTCAATGTATTTAAACAAAATCTGCTTAAACTTTTCAATGGCGCAAGAAATTACCTTTTCCATTTCTTAAAGGGTAAACAAAATAAAATGAGGAGAGTGTAGGCGAAACACAAGACTGTAAAAACAAGTATAAGACCGCTCTAAGTCTAAAGAGTAGTCCGAGCGATAATGGAGATAAACTTTAAATGTAGACATTCTAAATTTGAATTTGGATAATTTTTTAGGGCTAGACTATAAAGAATTTATCCTTCATTAATACTTTGTGGTCTGCCTTTTACTGGATTGAGGAAACGATTAATTGAGGTGCACAAAAGTTTGTCCGAACATCCGTAACCGTTGAATAAAAAAATACTTACATATAATCTTTCACTAAATCTGTTATAACGGGAGTTTTGTACACTGCACAGTCGTTTGATGATGTCAAATTTCATCTGCTCACAAAGAACTATCATTATAAATGGTTACATGATCCCTTGCTAATTTACAAAAAATGTTATTTAGACACAATTTAAGGATTTAATTTGAAAATCTAATTCGATACACCATTGAATTGGAAATAGATTCCAATTGAAACTCACAACTAATCTAACCACTTAATTAAATTAAATTTTTAATTAAATTTCTAATTAACTCCTACATAAAAGTAAGTGGAATTGAAAAAGCTGTGACATACGGATTGCTGACTTTAGTTATTAATGCATGATTGAAAATAGATTCATGGGATAATTTTTTTTTTTTTTTTTAGTAATGCTAGACTGACTAAATTTTGGAACTAAATTTGGAGCCCAAAAGACATGGTAGTTGACTTTAACTTTTTTGATTAGTGTCATGTCATTTGGGACCTAAGAAAAAAATTTCAAATAATCAACTGTCATGTCATTTGAGCTCTAAATTTGGTTCTAAAATTTAGTCAGTCTAGCATTTTTTTTTTTACCGATATACCAAACCTAAATGGCTAAATTATATGATTTTGATATGCACCACTAGTAAAATTGTTCAATCCGTATTGCATTTTTTTTTCTCTACATTTTCGTGGACTGAGTTTATGCAGATATCAATTTACAATTTATTGACCGCTGCGGGCATGCGGTCCAAGACAGCAGACAAATATATATCGAGATAGGGATTTGTGACATTAAGACTACCATTAGATTTATTTATTTTTTTACCTCAGAGATTATGGACTTCAATTATTCTCTTAAGAGAAAACTAACAAATTAGAGAATAAATGAACATAATGGAATTGAAACAAATAGTAAAGTATATAGCAAGATAGAATTAGTGTATAAATTAGTGTGCTGGAGTTGAAATTGAAAAAAGTCGACAAAATTACAGAATAAAAATGAAAATTTAAATTTAAACAGTGTAGAGAAGAACTCTGGTGTTCTATTTGTAGGAGTGCCTTCTCTGTTGTCTGGTCCTCTTTATTTATAGGTGGTGATTTTTTAGCACTAAAGATCTTTTTCAGCCATTAAACACGTTTTCATGACCTCTCTCTTTGACGGGTAAGAATGTGTGTCAAAACATTTTGCAATCCACGGTTCCATTTGACATGCTTCTTCGCTTGTCGAGATCCTTGGAAATCTTTCGTTATAATTATTTTATCTCCTTGGACCTCCTCTGACCAAATTTTGACCGTCGGATATTGCCACATGTCCTTCTTAAATTTTTTAAAAATATTTTGGTGTAAATAAATATCAATTGAACAAGTTTGTATCTGAGTTAATATTTTTGTTAAGGGATCTTAGCATTTTCAATCTCATATATATAATAACTAGTTATTACTTGCACCTAAAAGTACGGAGTAATAAAAAAATTTGTCAAGTATAAATATATTTGTATTTACACTCAAAATTAAATCATAAATACAGAGGAGAAATAAATGAATTTAAACACTAATTGTAGTAGGGTGAGGTGGTGGTAGTGGTGGCAGGTGGCAACGGTAGTGGTGGGATACTGTGACGATTATGGTGGATGGTTATGATTGTAATGATGGTGACAATCGTGGGTGGTGACGGTGATGATGATGGTAGATTTTAGGTGACGATAATGACGATAGTGATGAGCGACGGTGATAGTGGTGGGTTGTGGTGATGGAGCGGTGATGCTGGGAATGTTAGGCGTGAGTGGTGGTGGGTGATGATGGGTACTTGTCAACGGTGGCGGTGGTGGTGGTGGTGGTAAGTGTGGTAAGAGTGGGTGACAGTGGGTAATGGCTGGCGGTGGGTTGGGATAGTGGGTGGCGGCAGTGGATTGTGGTAATGGGCAACGATGGTCGTGATGGTGAGGGTTGCAGTAGAAGTGGTGACGACAATGACAATTGCAGTGAGGGCATGGGGCGATGCTGATGGTGGTGTGGTGGCAATAGTAGTGGTAGTGGTGGTGTTGAGGTAGCAACAATAGTGGTAGTGGTGAAGGATTTTGTAGTGAAGTGATTTTAAAGAAGTAGTAATTATTATTTTTTATTTTTATTTATTTATTTAAGTGGTAAAATTATTGTTGACTTATTTGAAAATAATTAAAATAAATTGTTCTAAATATTAATTTTTTTTTTAAAAAAAAATGGTTATAAAACTTATTTTTTCTATTAAATATGGAGAATTAATATTAACTATCAAATTAATTTTAATAAAAAATTTAAAATCACCTTAACCGTAAAAAATAAAAATTATTTTTATATCTTCAATTTTCTACTTTATTATAGATTTGAATGGTGTTGGACAGTTAAAGCATACTGTCAAAATTATCAATGAGTTTCTGGATAGAGATCTGTGGCATTCTTCCACCATAATGAACCACGTGTTCTGCGCCTGCTGGATTCTTGCCACGTCATTGGATTCTAAACCAGGTGGCCCTGCTAGCTGCTAGGGCTGACTATAGGAATAGTTAAAAAGCAAACAAAAAAAATCTCAATTAGCTCACTCCATCATGCTTTCTCATTTCACACCTCACTGGTCTTTGAGCTCGATCATATAAGATATTAAGGACATTTTTCGTCAACATCTAGAATGGGAATTTGATTATACACGCAAGACTGCAAATGGTGCAGCGCATGAACTAACAACACGGGGCTTTGCTATGAACTATATTGGTACATTGCAATCCGATCAACTACCAAACTCAACAAANGTCAACATCTAGAATGGGAATTTGATTATACACGCAAGACTGCAAATGGTGCAGCGCATGAACTAACAACATGAGGCTTTGCTATGAACTATATTGGTACATTGCAATCCGATCAACTACCAAACTCAACAAAGAATTAAATAGAGTTGAATGCACGCCCATAGAATAGCATAGAATTACTGGTTTCAATGGCAGCATCAATNAGCGCATGAACTAACAACATGAGGCTTTGCTATGAACTATATTGGTACATTGCAATCCGATCAACTACCAAACTCAACAAAGAATTAAATAGAGTTGAATGCACGCCCATAGAATAGCATAGAATTACTGGTTTCAGGGGCAGCATCAACNAACATGAGGCTTTGCTATGAACTATATTGGTACATTGCAATCCGATCAACTACCAAACTCAACAAAGAATTAAATAGAGTTGAATGCACGCCCATAGAATAGCATAGAATTACTGGTTTCAATGGCAGCATCAATGGCGGTGATGATGAAACCAATGGCAGGAGCATTCTTCGTCCTCCTCGACAAAACCGACGTCTGTCTCTACATCAGCACAGCCATTATTGGTGTCTGTACCGGAGCAATTACCTCCATCTCCGTCTCCACAACCACAGAGCTGTTTGGGACAGAGAACTTTGGTGTAAATCACAACGTTTTGGTCACAAATATCCCAATAGGTTCATTTCTATTTAGTGACTTAGCAGCTCTCTTTTACAAGAAAGAAGATGATGATCATCATGGTAATGGAAGATGCATGGGGATGAAATGTTACCAAAAGATATTTGTTATATGGGGTTCACTTTGTCTTCTTGGGATTTTGCCAGCTTTAATCCTCCATGCACGAACCAGAAAGCTCTACTCGCAAAGATCATAGGTTGCCAAAACACGAACCACAAATATTTCAATGCCTATGTATGGTTAAAAGAAAAAAAAAATTATAACCTACGTTACGGACGCGAAGTTTGCAATATTAATCTTTGTAGTTAAAACACTGAATATTTTGTTAGTGATTATAATCATGTTTTCATAATACTAATCAAGGATGTTTTTTACGCCATTCAATCTTATATGTTTTTTAGAGAAAATATTTGTGGTTTTAAATCATCATAATCATGAAATTAATAAAGGGTCCTTACTAATATTGAGACCCAAATTCATTAAGCCACTAAATTATATAGATCAATAATTAAGTTAAAATAGCATTGCTCTTTTTTCGGAAATTTGAGACTTGGTACTTGGTAGGGTATTTTTGTAGCAGATTGGATAGTAAATTTTCTGAAAAATAAAAAACGGAGAGAAATGAAGATTTAGGTGAAGACAGAATGTGCTGGTACATGGCCTCATCAAACCAGCCTAATAAAATTGACACCTGAGTTGACAACGGAGTGCCACCTTAGCTTTTTGTTGTCACCCTTCACACCTAATGATGGTGTATGGGTAGTTCTTCTAAGCTGTGTTCAAACAGTTACACAATCCATCCGGTTTAATGTGTATGTGTATGAACCACTACACCCATAATCCATCGGTAGGGGTTTAGTATTTATGAGGTAAATCGTCAATTCACATATTTCAAATTCGACTATATAGTTAGTGTTTTTAAATTTAGTAAATACTTTTGATTAGTGGGTGATTATAGATTTCGAAATTTACTCAAGGTTAAAAGTTAGAAATAAGTCTTACATAACCATCTTTTTAATTATGAAATAGATATATAAAGACATAATTTCATTGATTTATAATGTTAAGCTTCTTTATTATCATATTTCTTGTTTCGAAATCAAATCTTTTTAAGTGAAACACCCATAATATTATTCGTACTTAATATGCTTGTTGGTTTGAATTCAGTTATAAAAACTTGGAGGGGGGTTCCATCCAAAAAGGTACAAATTTTCATACACATTCAACGCCACCATATGTAATACTTTCCGATTGAGGCTAACAGACATCATTTCGCAATCCAATCCTTATATTTAACTAAAGCATATTATCAAACAATGGATTTGGGGGCACACATCAATCACCCAGGTCCAAGGTCAAAGAAAAATGCAAACATTTGGAGGTAAGAGAGCTGATAAAGAGAATAATGGCGATCCAAAAATAGAAAAAACAAGAATGGTGACGATAGCCTTTAGGTGGGGGATCAGAAGAGCTAAAAGCAATCATGTGAAGTTTGTTAGGAGTTAGGCATATATAATTGGATTGTCTTTTTTTTTTGAAACTTTGCTAGATCAAAGCTTTATCTCACAAATATTCTTTCAATTGGAGTCTCAATCAAGCCATATTGTATTAGGTAGTTGCAGTCATGTTGAGACACCACGTGTGAAGATAATACATGGAATAGAAAAGAAATTAAAAAAATTCTAATAAATCTTAAATAAGTTTATTAGTGACTAAATTAAATAAAAAAAATTGAAAGAGTTCTAATATGCTGTGAATATTAGATTTTTGTTAAAAATATTAATATCAAATTGTGTCTGAATATGTTTTGCTGACATTATTTTATTCTTATAAATAAGATTGAGTATTATATAATTAGTTAGCCGATGACTAAATTTTCAGTGAATAAAACATTGATGTAATTTTTTTAGTCTGTAGATGTAAGTATAATGTACTAATGTGGGTATATCTTTGTGTTTTGTTTTTATTGTTTTTCCTATCTTTTGATAATTAGTATTTGTATTAATTATCCGTTGTGCAAAACAAACAGGTGGTATCAGAATAGAATCCAAATGGTAAAAATCTTGGGGTGAACTCTATTAGAGTTAGATTAAAGATCTTAGTAGAACAATCAAAGTTAGATTGACAAACCTAATGCAACAATCAAAACAAGTTATTAACAATGCAATAATCAAGTTGATATTCATGTTGTTGAAGAACTCTCCTACCGCATGTTTATAAAGTAGTATGAAGATTGATTTCGTCCTGCATACATTAAAGTCTTAATCTTAAAATTTTTTGATAAAATATTTGGATCTAAAAAAAAAGTTATCAGAATCAATGACTAATGATTCTAGTTGAATTCTTTAAGTTATGTAGTGTTCGGATATTAAAGACAATTATTCATGATTTGGCTTTTGAGTTGTAGTCATATTAACACAATGGTTTGAGATATATTCGGTCGACATCCACCCAATATCAATTTAGTGTCTTTTACGTATGTTTACAGGTCACTAAGTTTTGCCTTGTTAGATCAAAAAAGCAATTGACCTACAATTTGAGATATAATATATCGATGTAGTTTTTGTTTGGTCCGTGGATATAGGTATAATATGTCAATGTCAATATATTATATTGAACTACGTTATACCTTGTGTGATATTTTCATTATTTTTTCAATCTTACAGTTTTATCTCTTGATAGCCAACATGCCATAAGACTTGGATGAAGCAAATGATTGTGATATCAAGTAAATTCAACAGTTAAAGGATGGGAATTGATTGTTAAGGAATCTTGGGTTCTCAAGCCAAAATGGTTATTCATATTTAAAATATATTTAATTCTTATTATTTTGGATCAAATGATTGTGATATCAAGTCATATTCAACTCTTATTTATTTATTTAATTTGTAGTGAACTCCTTTTGTGTTAAACTCTTATTCTTAATTGTCAGTTTTAGTCAATTTTTCAGCCTTATATTGAATTTTTTTATTTCTTCTCTTCTATTTTGGGGGAAAATTGCTGGCCTTGTACGTTTGTTTCCATGCAAGTGTCCAAGCTGCCCTAAAAATCAAGATGCCGAATCCGTTTTTTTTTTTAATTGGGAGAATTCTATGGTGAAAAAGTTTTTCTTATCATCGGATACAATTTTTTGTTATTTGGGATTAATCTAACAAAATTTAAAAAATTGTGTAACCGACTTTTAAACGAGCGTAATTTAATTCTAAATATTTTTTCTAAGATTGATCGTTAAGTATTACGATCAATCTCAATTTGTCATTATAACTTACATTTAAAAAATCATATTTTGAATCATAAATATTATAGACTTTATTACTATAATCATATATCCTTTGAAGTGACACACCCTTAATATGCTCATAGGTTTGAATTGAGTTATTAAAGCTCTAGGGGAGGTGAGAGTCGAGTAAATATTGAGTATTGATGGGCCGGTATGGACCAGACCCAGATCATTGATACAGATCAACAAAGGCTAAGTTACAATTTTAATTGGTTCAATCTTATTTTCCTAATAGACTTAGTACATCATCAGCGCAAGTGAGAATCTTCATCGATCACACATCAATGATCTGTTAACTGACATTATTTCACAATCGAATCCTTTTATTTAATTAGAAAGAATGTTATTTGGGGTCACACATCAATCACCCAGGTCCAACTTATTCAAAGAAAAATACAGACTTTTGGAGGTAAGAGGGCAAATAAAGAGAAGAATGGCGAAATTTCTTAGGAATTAGGCATATATAAGTAGAATCGTCTTTTGTTTTGATTCCTTGCCGTCTTTGCTGCATCAAGACTTTCTATTACAAATTCTTTTTAATTAGAGTTTCAATCAAGTTGTATTACATGATTATGTCACTTAGCTGTAGCAATCAAGGCTGAGATGAAACAAGAGGTTGCTTAGCTTTCTTCAAACTATACCCCTCTTAATTTGTTGTTGGAAATCCATTCATGAATATACATTATGAGATAATTAATGCATGTGTGTGAGAGAGAATTACTCAGCATCGAACAATGCATTTTAGGCCTTAAATCCGACCCAATATTCTAACTTAATGATGTGTCAGATCATAGACTTAAATGTATAAGGGCAACGATTGCATAATAATCATGTCAATAATCAAATTATTAGATTAATAATTTATATTAATTTTTTAGTCATAAGAACATTAGTCTTCTTTATGTAATCAGTGGTTGGGGTTAATGACAATATTGGATTTTTTTTTTTTTTGTTATAGGGTATTTAGGTTTGTATACGATGATACGAAATTTGAGTTAGTTTAAAGATATGTTTTCTGAAGAACAAGGGTGGCTAACCCTTTAGGAGGTGTGGAAAATATTGAACCTAAGATCTTTTGTTTACAAAAGTGAGAAATTTTTTATTATAACGGTAATACCACATGACAATACTGATGTAAAAATCACCAATTAATAATATCAAAATAAATAACAAATGAATCCTATTAAAATTAATAATCAATTCTCCATGTAAGCAAATAATTAACTATTCACTCCACTTTCTTATAAACAAATAAGTATCTAAGTGAAATTTACGTTACTCGCTTGATGTTTTATTATTAATTAGTTTCTCATTTGATGTTTTTTTATTAATAATAAATACTTATTGATTGATATCATTGTTCCATTCAATATTGACTCTGCAGGAGGGTATGCTACTGTTGGGATATTTTATTGTTGACAAGCATGTTGTTTGTGGCTGAACCTTGTTGTGGTGCCCAACGTGTTATTTGACTTGGCGAGAAAGAACAAAGATTAGCCAGCCAAGTGGAGCCCTTATAATTTGTGTCTTTTTGATGATTCCCATGTCGTATAAAACTGAAATCAAGTCAACAAACCCATAACTGGGTTTAGCTTGAAAAGCACAATCGGTACCATTAATGTTAAAGGGGCTGTGTAGAGACTTATATGAAGGATACATACGTACAAGGCATCATTTGGATTGAAACAGAAACAAATTCCAGGATTGAAAACTCGACCAGATAGCTAGGTATCATTTGGAATACAAATTTTTAACACGGTACCAAATATAAGTTTAATGGTTAGGATACTCAAAGATGGAAAAGTCTATGGTATCAAATTTATCATTTTTTATGGTAAAATTATAATTTTAAAAAGAAAAATTACAACTGTTCAAGAAAAAGTTATGATTGATCATTAAATCTCCTTTCTTGATTA